CTTGTTTCTTATTCTCTGAAATACTCTAAATCTGGTACATTTCTCTGGTTGTTATTAAACAGATTTTAATTTCTTATAAAAACATGTTTAATATACGTCCACAGTTCTCTAGAATCATTCAGCTCTAGAAAAATAAGAAAACAAAAGTGTGCAGAGTTGAAGTGTTTAAGATGAAACACTGCGTTAAAGTGAAGCTCGTCCACGTCCCTGCAGACGAGGCTGAGGTCTGTGAATCTTCCATCTCCAGTTTTCTGTCTTGATGTGATTCCTTCGAGACCTTCCAGCTTTAATTGCCCCTAAACTCAAAGCGTTTCAAAGCGTCGAGCTGCCGCTTCATGTCGCCCCTCAGCTCCTTCTGATACAGAGAGGACGTGTCGTCAGGCCTTCGTGTTCGCTTGATCCCAGCGTTACAACACTTAACAGGGACCAACTCTTGACCATGAAAGTGTGTGTGAGGAAACACTCGACACACACACACACACACACACACTTCCCCTCAGAGTCACTCTCAGCTGACGTGTCGCTTCTCATCACATGTGGTGTAATCACGTTAACAAGCCTTTTCAACAGGAACTTGCCTACTAAAGAATAAGTTGTCTTCATCGCTTTATTGCCTGTGTAAATATGATTTTATTTATTGTCTTTTTAATACCCTCAGCATTCATTGTGTTGCCATGTTTTCATGCCTAAGCCATTAAGATTTTTAATTAAACAGTATTTTCTTTAACATTTGATCTGTGGTTTGTCCTTAAATACGTCACAAAGAAACTCCAAGTCCGAAGATTTTTATATTTAATGTAAAATATTATAACATACATTATAGACACTGGGTTTAATCTCTTGTAGTTTTAGGTTTATGAATAAAGTAATGGGAGAATTTCTGATACCAGTGTATTGGCCGTGTTGTCAATCCATAAATCGCTGAGGGAAACATGTTGGTATATTTTTAAAATGATTTCCATCACGTGCCTTCAGCGCTTCACTAGTTTTCATATCATTTGAATGAAATAAGAACAGTTCCTCTTCCCACACATCCAGGAATCCAATGAATACATTTTTATTTCTAAAGTTTGTTTTAACAAGTCAGTTTGTCTCATGGGACAAAACATCCTCTGTTCTTAACCCTCGACAAGAGTGAAGACAAACGACTGTCAACAGGACACAACACAGTCCTAAAACAGACGAAGGTTAGTTTAAGACAACTGGAACGTTTCAGACGTTATTCCACGTCTCAGGAGACACGTTGTCTTCCCCCTCACGTTCTGCCCAATTGGAGGAGAAAGGCTGATTTGTTTTGCAGCGAGAAGGTCGGAGCTCGGAGCCTGAATTCGTTGCAGATGTGAGCTGTGTTCTCTGACCTTCCTCCTCCTCCTCCTCCTCCTCCTCCAGACTCCAGCTGGAAACCTGAGCTACTGTTGGAGTCATTTCCAGCTCGTGCTGCTGACAGCGGTCTGGAGGCAGAGCTGCTTCCTGTCTCCTCCTCACTGTGGGACTGTGCAGGGCCGACACCAGAGCACACACTCACACACACACACTGTTGTTCTGGTTCCTGCTGAGGCCTCAAGATCCTGACTAAAGAAAAGCCTGCGGTCACAGTCTTACTGCTCTTTCATGCCTCTGCAGAAGAGTAAATAAAGTGGGGTCTAAATTTTAACAATTTAAAAGCAAGATCACACAGCATTAAAAAAATATAAAAGAAGAAAATGTATAGATGAGAGAAGAGGAAACTTGGAGGAACACACATGTAAAAATGTGTCTTTAAGAAAGATTTCAAAGAGCATAAGGAGTCTTGTGAGTGGGAGCCCTGACGGAGCAGTCACCTCTGGTCCTCAGCCTGAACCCCGACCGAACCACATTTAAATCTGCGAGAGGTTTTCTAGATATCAGACTCCTGGAGGTACCTGTTTGTTTTAGGGTTTTCTTTCCATCATGAATTATTTCCTGGAACTTGAGTGAAAATGTCTAAAACGTCCTTTCGTTAAAGAAAATGAAAAGAAAAGTTGGTTCTTTCTCGGCCTGTGTCAACTTCCTTTAAGTTTTTATAGAAAATGTTCAGTAGATTATTTATATCCCTGTTTATTAAACTTGTCTACTCTTAAACATGTCTGCCATGACAACGTCTGTATTATAGCTTTTTAAAGAAATTCAGTTTTGACTCGAAACAACCGAACGGCTCTTTTCTACGTTTTCTTTCTTTTAAATTCCCTGAATCAATTTCTCTTCTTTAACACAAACAAACAACCACATGGGTGAAAACACAAACATCAAAATAAAAACACTCGTTTCTCTTTAAATGGAACTTTTTTATTTGGCATTATTTTCTTGCAAAAAATATAAAAACACGCAAGCATCAAATGATCACATATACAGTACTCACATTTAGGAAACGAACAACTGCAACGATCACGTTCAAAAACATGTTTCCCACTGGTGAAGAATCCAGAAACAACAAACAGAAAAATGTCCCGTGCGGTCAAAAAAAAAACTGAAAAGACGAAGAGGTGCAGATTCACTGCGAGGATCAGATCAGAGAAACTCCGACAGCTTCACGTGACGACTCTTCTTCTTGCCTGAGGACGTTCTGTACCTGGATATTTCTACAAATGTAACATCTCAAAGGAACAAAATAAAACAGAAAACACGTCACTACTCTGTTTAATGCTGCAAGTCTTCGGGGCAACGTTCGCGCACTCGGCAACAAAAAGGTCAAACTTCTTTTCACAACAACCAACACGGTGAGAGATCAGTACGTCATATTCACAACACGGACCTCCAGCAGCGTAACACGCACGTGCGCGTTTGAGCCGATTTACTACAAACAAGGAGGATGAATCATTTTCAGTTTGTGCCTCTACACGTTGAATTGTCACAGAAAAATGAATCTGCATGTTTTGTACGGTCAAAAAGTAGAAAACATTCTGTGTGTTAATATATAAATGAAAACATCATGAGGTCAGAAAAATGCAGCGGATAAAATTGAGTTTGTGCTTGAAATATTTTTTCTCTCGTCCAATTTTGTTCCAGATGTTTAGAAGATTCTGCAAAAACTTTAAAACAGCTGTGAGTGTTTTTAAATGACCTTTTGGATTTTCTTTTTTAAAGATCCTCAGCTCTTCTCTTTGGCTGCAGATGTATTTTTAAACGAAGTGTCGTCTTAGCCTGTACAGCTTTAAATCGGTTTCTTACTTAAACACAATCCATGGTTTCAATCGTGATAAAAAACTTTTCTCATCAGTCTGCAGGAGCATGACCGTGGCTGAATCCTGTAACTGAAGAAAACTGAATGTTCCCTGTGACATATTTTATCTCCTGTTGATCCTTCAACATGAAATAAAACCTGCGTCATTCTTATCTGTAGCGTGAAGCTCAAACGTGCACGACGTGAAAACGCGTCTTCGAGCCCAAATAAAAAAACTCTCAGAGGAAACACAAAGAACACACAGAGCAAACCAGAGAAATAAATCAAACAATATTTCAGTGTACGACGCGTTCTCAAAAAACAGGCACAGCAGATCACTGACCTTTGACCTTTTCACCTTCAGTAACAGTCGGAGGCGTCCGCTCACAGGTCTGAACGCGTATTTACAAACAGTGCGAGGGCTTGACAGTAGTTTGCAGAAGGACGCCAGAGTTTCTGAGCCACAGCTTTTAGGGCGGGAACGCTGAAGTTTAGCGCCCCCTAATGGTGCAACTGCCGATTCTGGAGGAAAAGTTTGTGTGTGTTTTTGTGGGGGGGGAGGGTGGTAAGTGTTTATCTACAATTATTGGCGTCAATCATTTAAAGATCTGATCAAACACGCTGACGAGACGTCTCTCAGTGTGACTGAACCGACGGTACAGAGCAGCCACGGCAGCGGAGCAGCCGGACTCGTTTGGTCTCAAAAAACAAAGAAATAAAAAATCCCCTGGACATGGATCAACATGCACACGACCCAGACGCTGCCATGAAATGAAAATCCGAGTGCCAAAATATCTTAAATAACAAAATATATATAATATGTACACTTCATAGAAAAAGAAACAAAAAAAAAAAAGGATGCATCGAGAGACATCGTCGCACTCGAACGACGGCCGAGTGCAAACAACTGGAGGGACTGAATGTACAGGAAACACTCATTCAAAGGAAAATACACATCTGTACATACATACCTGTGTTTCTGTGTGTGTGTGTGTGTGTGTGTGTGTGTGTGTGTGTGTGTGACTGTGTGTGACTGTGTGTGTAAAACTACTGAATACTGCTGAGAACAAAGCATGATGGGGGAAATGTCCAGGCTGTGTGGTGGGGTCTTCCTGCAGATCTCTCATCCCATCGACTCCGTCCTGTGCTCCAACACTGATGTCTCCATGCTGCTGAACCTACAGGGACGTTACTGAAAGACACAAGAGGAGGAGGAGGAGGAGGAAGAGGAGGAGGACGTCAGTGCAACACAAACTGACACACAACATAATCAACCAACACTTCTCATTGTGCTGCGGTGTCCATGTCGTTACAGTTAATTTCAGATTTGTTTATAACCAGTGTTTCCGATCTACAAACACACAAATATCTACTCTGATCAGAAGTTATTAGGACCGGTAAAGTCATTAAAATGAATAATAATATAATAAAATGTATTCTGGGTTCCCTCTAGAATTTATGAGACAAGGATTTCCCATATCCAAAAGAAGTCCAGCATTTTGTGTGCAGGTAGTTCACCTGCCAAACACGACACGTCATCGGGTTTGAAGTGGACTGGAAGGACTCGGAGTCTCCATCTTCAACTACACAAATGTGATTTAACACTGACAACGTTTAAATAATTGATTTGATCAAAGATATGAACCAACACACACACACACACAGCAAACGTCTACAACGGCTTGTGTGTTGTCGGGGGAACTAAAAGTGAAAAATGTTTTCGTCAGCTTCAGGAAAATAAAAAGGCATGAAGTTATCTGTATGATGCTAGTCGGTGGCCTCTAGGGGGCAGAAGTGAGTTGTTTTTTTGTTTTGTTTTTTACAGTGTCCGCTCGGAAGGTCACCTGGTCATCAGGTCCCTTCTTGTCTCCGTTGACGGCCTTCAGCAGGACAGACTCCTCAGTCTTTGTGTTGGTCTTCATCTCCACAACAATGTCGTCTTTGGTGGTTTTCTCTTTGGTTCTGCAGAGAAACGAGAGAACGTCACAGACCCGCTCGGTTCTGAAGAGACGGGACTCGACCGGCGAGTCAGAGTGTCCTCTAAATGAGTCTGTAAGGTTCTCATTTCACTGCTGCATGTCTCCAGTGTGTGTCATTGTGAGATCTGAACGGAGCCAAGTATTGGTATTTATACTTCTTAAACATTTTGTTCTTTATTGTCATTATACTGCGGCTCCGGTTAGTTTGAGTTAGTTTCAGTTGGTTCGCGAGGAACTCAACAAAAAAGTCAAACTTCAGTGGGACTGTGTGTTTTTACAGCTGCTCCGAGTGCGACGTGTGTCTGCGTGGAAGAAGCAACAAGACGGGACAAGACAAGGCAGCTTGTGCAGAGACTGAAGCTCGGTGGCAGGAGGACAGAAGCTCAGACACATGAAGAGGAAACAGCACACGAGCGAATCAGAAGTGAAACAGGATTAAAACAGATGAAGTGGGAACGCAGGGTTTAAATAGACGAGCAGACGAGACACAGCTGAGACACATCAGGTGATCACATCAGGTGATCACATCAGGCTGCAGGTGAGCGAGGAAGCAGGAAACAAGAGGAAGTGAAGGCACCTGCACTTAGAGGGCGAACAGGAAGTGAACGTCAAAATAAAACGGGAAAATGGACGACAAGAAGGAAAACAAAAGGGAAATAAACAGTCGAAGATACAAGGAAGTTAATGTCACTTAACTCCTGTCGACAGTTAGAGACAGTCAGAGACATTTATTCATATGTATGTATCTTTGTTTGTTTGTGTTTTATAATATATATGTATGTATGTATGTATTGTAAGTATATATATATATATATATATATATATATATATATATATATGTGTGTCGTATGAACAGGTTTAGTCAGTAAGAGTCAGCACTCACATCTCCTGCTTCCCCGAGCGTCCACAGGGAATCTTCCCCTTCTTGTGGAGGAAGTAGAGGACGCTGCCGAGGATGGCGAGCAGCAGCAGACACAGTATGATCACCACTATGATCACTCCACTGCCCTCAGCTGCACAAAGACACACACAGACGACAACATGTTAGATCCTTCCACGTCTCACAGCCGACACAGAGCGGAAGGACACTCGACTCGACAGTTTCACAGTCATCTAAACAGAATTTCTGTTTCCTGCCTCGACACTAGAGTCTGTGTGATTTAAAGGAGCAGTTCCAACACTTCCACACATAAAGTCACTTCACACGTGATAACAGCCAGTGCAGTGTCTCCTGTGTCTCTGGTCGAGCTTTGTTAAGTGTTGGAACACGACCTCACGTAACCTCACACTGAGCTTGCACGTGCAACACAAAGACTGTGCGGTGTGACGTTTGAACGACCCAGAGAGTTTTCCATCGACAAACGTCTGGCTGCGTAAAGTCCGTGTAGGATCTGTCTCTGGCAGGTCTCCATGTTCACGGCTCAGTGATACTCAACTGCTGACGTACGCTTTTTTAAAATAAAGAAAAAGTCTGTTCTACACGTTCAAATCTTTTTAACAACTTTGATTAAGCCGCTTATTCAACGAGGTCCATTTTATGCATAAGGAATAATTGTCCAAGTGTGAAATTACATATTAAGTTATATATAAGTGGAAGAGGACGGTGCGGTGAAGTTAATTTACTCCTCTAAGCATCTGTGACCTTAATCACTGACCTCATACGGATTATATGTAAAACGCTGGACTTCAGCTCTGTGGTCTGAAATTTCCGTTTCTTTTAGAAGAGCAAACAATATTAACAAGACACATAACTTTTTTCAAAGCATTTCTACAAACTTTTATCAGTTTAACATCAAACACCAAACGGAGAGTTCATCAGAACTTAATGCAAAGAAAACTGCTGGGCCGTCATTGGTCGATTGTCCCAGTTCACAGCAGGAGATGATTGAATTTAATTGAACTACTGAGAGCACAAAAAAAATCAAGAACCTCCTCAACCTCCAACACACTTCACTGTCGTAGTTTCTAGGAAAGTGAATTTTTGACATGCACATTTTACCTCACTCTCTAACACACACAAAAACGTGTTAACCATGTAATTACTGTAGTATTAAGTATTAAAAAAAACACCAACACCAAATAAAGTAAAACAGAAGGTTAAAGGATGCGACCATTTAAGATATGCAAAGAAAAAGTAAAACACTATAAGATGACAGACGTTGTAACATGATGAAAAGACTTTGGATTTGTTAGACGGAGTAATTCACTTCTGAAATAGAAAGAAGAAATAAAGAACAATGACATTATTGTTCCCTTGAGCAGGAAGAGATGGGACTAATAATATTTACAATGGTTCTGTTCTGTTCATAACCGGAGCCATCGCTGATTTTATTATTTAGATCTGTGTTATTAACAAACACACACTATGTTCCGTTAAGATCACTGCATCAAGCTTGTTGTTGTTTTATGAAAACTTTATCTATAATTCAATTAGGATTTCTGGAGACAACCCATAAGCTGGCAGGATGTAT